GTAAACCTGGAAGAAATGGATAAATTCCTGGACTCCTGCGTCCTCCCAAGCCTAAACCAGGAGGAAGCTGAAACTATGAATAGACCAATAACAAGGTCAGAAGTTGAGGCAGCAATTAAGAGCCTATGACACAAAAAAAGCCCAGGTTCAGGTGGGTTCACAGCCGAATTCTACAAGACACACAAAGAGGAGCTGGTACCATTCCTTCTAAAACTATTCCAAACAATCCAAAAAGAGGGAATCCTTCCCAAATCATTTTATGAGACCAACATCATCCTGATCCCAAAACCCGGCAGAGACCCAACAAGAAAGAAAACTTCCGGCCAATAGCTATGAAGAACATAGATGCAAAAATCTTCAATAAAATATTGGCAAGCTGATTGCAACAGCACATCAGAAAACTTATTCATCATGATTAAGTAAGATTCATCCCGGGGATGCAAGGCTGTTTCAACATACGCAAGTCTATAAACGTAATTCACCATATCAACAGAACCAAAAACATAAACCACATGATTATCTCAATTGATGCAGAGAAGGCATTTGACAAAATTCAACAGCCCTTTATGCTAAAAACCCTCAATAAACTCGGTATTGATGGAACGTATCTCAAAGTAATAAAAGCTGTTCATGACAAACCAACAGCCAATATCATACTGAATGGGCAAAAACTGGAAGCATTCCCTTTGAAATCTGGCACTAGACTATGATGCCCTCTCTCACCACTCCTATTCAATATAGTACTGGAAGTTCTAGCCAGAGCAATCAGGCAAGAAAAAGAAATAAAGGGTATTCAAATAGGAAAGGTGGAAGCCAATTTGTCTTTATTTGCAGATGACATGATAGTATACCTAGCAGACCCCATCACCTCAGCCCAAAAACTCCTGAAACTGATAAGCAACATCAGCAAAATCTCAGGATATAAAGTCAATGTGCAAAAATCACAAGCATTCGTCTACACCAATAACAGACATAAAGAAAGCCAAATCAAGAACGAACTGCCATTCACAATTGCTACAAAAAGAATAAAATACCTTGGAATACAACTCACAAGGAACGTAAGGGACCTATTCAAGGAGAACTACAAACCACTTCTCAATGAAATCAGAGAGGACACAAACAGATGGAGAAACATTCCATGTTCATGGTTAGGAAGAATTAATATTGTGAAAATGGCTATACTGCCCAAAGTAATTTACAGAATCAATGCTATCCCCATCAAGCTACCATTGACTTTCTTCACAGAACTGGAAAAAACCACCATGAACTTCATATGGAACCAAAAGATAGCCCGCATAGCCAAATCAATTCTAAGCAAAAAGAACACAGCGGGGGGCATCACACTACCGGATTTCAAATTATACTACAAGGCTACAGTAATCAAAACAGCATGGTACTGGTACCAAAACAGAGATATAGACCAATGGAACAAAACAGAGGCACTGGAGGCAACACAACATATCTACAACCATACAATCTTTGATAAACCTGACAAAAACAAGCAATGGGGAAAGGATTCCCTATTTAACAAATGGTGGTGGGAAAACTGGCTAGCCATGTGCAGAAAGCAGAAACTGGACCCCTTCCTGACACCTTACACTAAAATTAACTCCAGATGGATTAAAGACTTAAACATAAGACCTGGCACCATAAAAACCCTAGAAGGAAATCTAGGCAAAACTATCCAGGACATAGGAGTAGGCAAGGACTTCACGAACAAAACACCAAAGGCATTGGCAACAAAAGCCAAAATAGACAAATGGGACCTAATCAAACTCCACAGCTTCTGCACGGCAAAAGAAACAGTCACTAGAGTGAATTGGCAACCAACAGAATGGAAAAAAATTTTTGCAGTTTACCCATCTGACAAAGGGCTGATATCCAGAATTTACAAAGAACTCAAACAGATTTACAGGAAAAAAACAAACAAGCCCATTCAAAAGTGGGAAGAGGATATGAACGGACACTTTATGAAAGAAGACATATATGAGGCCAAAAATTATATGAAAAAATGCTCATCGTCACTGGTCATCAGAGAGATGCAAATCGAAACCACATTGAGATACCATCTCACGCCAGTTAGAATGGCGATCATTAAAAAATCTGGAGACAACAGATGATGGAGAGGATGTGGAGAAAAACGAACACTTTTACACTGTTGGTGGGAGTGTAAATTAGTCCAACCATTGTGGAAGACAGTGTGGTGATTCCTCAAGGCCTTAGAAATAGAAATTCCATTTGACCCAGCAATCCCATTACTGGGTATATACCCAAAGGACTATAAATCGTTCTACTATAAGGACACATGCACACGAATGTTCATTGCAGCACTGTTTACAATAGCAAAGACCTGGTGTCTACCCAAATGCCCATTGATAATAGACTGGATTGGGAAAATGTGGCACATATACACAATGGAATATTATGCAGCAATCAGAAATGATGAGTTCGTGTCATTTGTAGGGACATGGATGAATCTGGAGAACATCATTCTCAGCAAACTGACACAAGAACAGAAAATGAAACACTGCATATTCTCACTCATAGGCGGGTGATGAAAAATGAGAACACATGGACACAGAGAGGGGAGTACTAAACACTGGGGTCTATTGGGGGGAAAAGGGGAGGGCCAGTGGGAGGGGGTGGTGGGGAGGGATAGCCTGAGAGGAAATGCCAAATGTGGGTGAAGGGGAGAAAGCAAACAAAACACACTGCTATGTGTGTACCTATGCATCTGTATTGCATGCTCTGCACATGTACCCCCAAACCTAAAATGCAATAAAAAAAAAAAGAAAGTTAGGGAGTGGCACAATGTAAGTGCTTAATAAATAATTGTTAAAGTATGGTATTTATGTCTTTCTGATATTTATCCAAGAGCCTGCACATGTTAACATTGATTGAATGTGTACACACATGAAAGGACAATTGAATGGGGAAAATTTAGCACTGGGAGGTACAATAAATAGAATTTCTATAAATAAAGATGTGTTTGTTTGTTATTTGTTTTATCTCAAGAAGTTATACATGCCTTAAGATGTTGACTTTACCTAAGTAAAATTGGAAAACTGCACAGTACCAGTTGGTACCATAGACTTTGTCATTAATAAACATTAGATGACAGCCATGAAATGCTATGATAAAGACCAATGCTTTGCTGGGATATTAGTCAACATTGAGAAGTGCTGTATGAAATTTGAGAATTACATGCACTTAATCCTGAGCATGATATAGACTTAAATGTCTGAGCCTTTCATTTGTTCTGTAAATTTTTGTGTAAGTAAAATGATAGTTACTTGTTAGAGGGGGAAATTATATTTATTCTTGCTACATTGAGAAATAATTGAAAAACAGTATTTTTCTGCCAGTACCCTGTACATTCTGCAATGTTTATTCTCAAGTTTTTGTTTTACATGTTGAATGTTTTTAAAAAATGTATTAAAATTTATATTTTTTATTTTGTTTGTAGAGCAACAGTGCATACACATAAACCAAGCCCATTTAGATTTCCCATTTTTGTTATTCTTACCATATTTGTTTGTTTTCTTGGTTTTTAATTTTATTTCTTTTATAAAAGTGGCCTTTAGCAATGTTTTGCATGCTACATGAGATCTGCTTATATTCCTGGAATTATCTGTTGGAGTCTGGAGTTTCTCTCCCTATTGATTTCCCTTTACTTTCCTCTGATATTACTATATGCAACCCCTTCTCATATACAATGGGAACAAAAGGTAGTATGACCGTCACAAGATTATTGACATAATTGCATAAATTGTACATATAAGTTGTTCGTAATAGTGGACATTATGTACTAAAATATCAATTAGGCATGAATGTTAACCACTGTTTTTAATTATTATCAGGGTGACACCCCTGGTACTTGAAGGGAAAAATATAATAAAAGAGAATCAGAAGTAAATATTTTCCCTTAATCTCAGCAAGCTATAACAGTTGCCTTTTCTCTAGACCTCAGCGTCCTAGATGCTGTGGGACTCTAGCTCATAGCACCTTCAGATAGGACAGGCAGTTTGAATACTCAGGTCTCTCAAGTACTTTAATGTAACATGGGGTTATGGAACTTATTTTTTTAACGTTGTTGTGGGAGTTACTTTCAGGATTTTCTCCTTTGTCTAGAACTGGTATTGAATAGAAAAAAATTGGTCAGAAAAGAAAATGAATGCCAGCCATTTTCTCCCCTCCCTTTATAATCAGGATTCCTTAAGAGAGCCTTGACATTGAAATCATCCAGACATTTTTTGTTCATCATCTTTCCTCTATTACAAATCTAGTGTCATGATTTGTAACATTAAGTTGTTTCTTTTATTTGTGTTAGTAATTATATCCTTCTTAGTTTTTTGAAATCAACTTGCTGTTTAGAAATACAAGTGGAAATATGTGTACTTATATATGTATATGTATTATATGTAGAAAAATGTGAAAGAGAAGGAGACTTTTTCTGTCACTTTCCCACTCTTAGATGATTCCTTTAAGACTGCTCTCTATGTACACAAGAAGTAGGAAACCAGTGTTACAACCATTTTAAATATTTCCCTGTGTTTTTTTTCATCCTTAACATATGGAGGCATAGATAATAATATTTTATTAATACAACATTCTCTTTTTTATAATAAAAGTTTCGTATTTATGATCTAGTTTGACTTGGGAAATGTTGTCATTTCTTATCATTTTCTCCTTTGCCATCTTTAACTCTGTTTGTAAGTACACAAAACCTCATGATAATAGGAATTTGAATATATCATAATTGTGCTCTGTAACTGGCTCACCATGCATTTAATTAACCTTGTAGTAATGCCACTCTGCATTTTTGGGAACTGAATTTTGAGAACCCACCTAAAGCATTTGGTATGGTTTGGGAATCATTAATTTAATGAATTTTTAAAGATACATGCATCATTAAGATCTTGGTTTTCATATTTTTGGTTGTAATCATTTTATACAGATAAACAGTGCAAATATTAAGAATGAATTATATTATCTTGTAGTTGATTATAGTTGTGAAAAAAAAAACACACCAGAAGGTCCTACTCAGAAAAGTCTTCATGAAGCCAGGGAACAAAACAAATGTAAAACAAAGATGAAAGGCAATACAAAGGTATGTTATTTATTTTTATTTGCATTAAGTCATATTTAATTCTCAGATTTTTAGATCCATACACTCATATGGTATCATCATTATTTTACCTGAAAGGGAATTTAGAGGTTGTATAGTCCAGACTGCTTGGTTTGTATGTGGGCAGTGGAGGTACCCAAATGTTTCTCGTAAATTGTTAATTCAGGGACACATGTTTATTAGTAGCAGAGACAGCTCCATGGATCACTCTACCATCTATCCCAATGTAATCACAATCATGTCTGCTCACCTCCTAACTTTTCTGCTTGAAATTGCCTCTAAAAGAAATCACTCCCAGGTCCTATCTTGTTATTTCTTTCTTCAAAATGTAACGTCAGACTTTAGTCTTCTTTAAAGGTAGAATGAACTAGCATTATGCTTTACTTAACAATCTTTTTGTATCTTTAGTACCTTCACTTTGTAATCAGACTGGTAGTTTAAATCTTCACAGTGACTAAAGAAAATGGTATTAAAAGTGGTTGGCCAAAGAGATCAGAAATGAAGAAAATTACATAAAACCTGTGGAGAGTTTAGTTTATTGTTATGAAAATTACATAAAAGTCTAGCTCAGGTAATGAATTTTCTTGAAAGGCAGTTGTTACCTTAGAGTTCTAAAATATCTGGCACTTATTTTAAAATAAAAATACTTAAAATTATAATTGCTTCTTAGTAACAATAATTCTAGAAGAATAGATTTGTATGAATTCAAATAATAGCACTTACTCAGGTAATGCCAGTAATATTTTTTCTTTCTAAGATATGCATTGGATTCTGGTATTTTATAAAATAATTGAATAAAATAAAAACCAATCACTTTTTGGTTATAACAAGCTTTTCATTATAATCTTGTTTTGTGCTTTACCAGATTAGTGTTTTCTTGTTTTCTATCATCATAATTAATTTATAGATTATGGTATGTGAGATAAACTCACATCAGATTGAAGGATTTTTGGAACGATGGTGGTGATTGTCATCAGAAACCTTTTCATTCTCTAATGGTGTAAGTATTCTCTTTCAGGTAGTAAGTAGTAAGTCATGCTTAAAGTGATTTGTTGATTCATTCACTCAGTGCTTATGGCTTGTAAGAGTTTAGATTAATAATGCAAGGTTGACTTTTTATGTGACCAAAAACCTACTAAAATTTAGGAAAAGTATATTTCATATTTATGCATAGTATATTATTTTATCGTGTTGCATTCAGATATTTAATGTAATATCTGCAACATATATTTTAATATGACATAGGTCATATTAAAGGGCCGAAGTATAAAATAAGGTGAATCCCTCTCACCCTCACTGAGTAATCATTTTTACTAATATTTCTCTTAATTGTCTTGTTATTATAACAAATGACTGAGTTCTGTTTCTGTTTATTTAATCATTCAGTTTACATGGTACCTATTGACTCTCTGCTGTAACAAAGAGGCATTAAGAACACTTTACTGATTTGATTTGAGTTATATTATTATGCATGTTGTCATAATTGATAGCATTTACATTTGTTCTGTAGTCTTAATTCTATTTTCTGTGCTTTGTCTGTAAATTAATACTAAAATTTAATCCCATAAACAACTTTTAAATGGATTATGTTTAAGTAAATGTGATTGATTGCAGACATTGCAAATCTAACTAGAACTATAGAAGAGGAAGGAGAATACCCGAAGTGCACAGGTCTGTATTTAAAAGAGAAATCTTCTCTACTTCCTGGGCTTATACTCAGCTGCCCCTGTTATGTATTTTCCTATTTTTCTTATGGATTGCTCTTTCTATTTTCCTAGAGAATTCCCTTGAGTAATTTTCAGAAAGGGCCAATGGAAATAAATAATCTAAGTTCATACATTTGAAATATTCTTGTTCTGCCTTAAACTGAGTTGATATTTTGCTGGACATAGAGTTCTAGTTTTAAAATAATTTTTCACTAGAATTTTAAAGGCTTGTTTTAATGTCCTAGAGGATAGTAATAATTGCTGTTGGTCTGATTCTTGTTTTTTTTTGTTGGGAAGTAAAAAATACCATATGCGATGCAATTTACTAGTAAACTAGCATTTTGAACAACTAGAACATTGAGGTGTAATCATAATAACAACTTTATTTATCTGACCTACTGGCCCTTAAAGCTGCTCAGTGAAGGTAATTCAACCCTTACACTAGGGTGATAATTCATTTAAGGCTTCATGAAATTATTAGTTAAGTGTGTGTTTACTCTGGTTGCAAAACACAGTCTCAAATGAGTAATTAAATATGTCCAGCTTTATGTAACACAAAAGCTCCACATTTGACATGAAGTTCACTTTTTACCTTACTCTCAGCTGAAACCTTCTGTGGGCTAGACAGTTGCAGTTTGGAAGGGGTTGTGATGGTGGTGTTGTGAGGCTGTTTGTATTTTTTTTCCTCATACTTTTTCCCTAGTTTGCTAACTGGCAAGTTTGAGGGTGCAAGGAGAGAGAAGTTAAAAAGGAATGGAAGAGTTGTTACTTGACTTGAGATACTTTATAATGGCTTAGAATTCTTCGAACTTGGCAAAATCAGAAAGCTATTAATTACCCTGATGAGCACTGTATTAGTCAGGGATAGAAGGATATATGGATATTAGTTCTCTGGAGGGAGAGAACTAATACATACACACACACACACACACGTGTGTATATGTTCTCTAGAGAGATAGAACTAAGATATAATATATCTTGTAGGATATATATATATGTATATATGGGGAATTTATTAAGTATTAACTCACGAGATCACAAGGTCCCATAATAGGTCATCTGCAAACTGAGGAGGAAGAAGAGCCAGTCCAAGTCTTAAAACTGAAGAATGTAGAGTCTGATTTTCAAGAGCAGGAGGCATCCAGCATGAGAGAAAGATGTAGACTGGGAGGTTAGGCCAATCCGATATTACTATATGCACCCCCTTCTCATATACAATCAGGAGCTGATTAGATGGTGCCTGCCCAGATTAGGGTGGGTCTGTCTTTCCAGCCTATTTACTCAAATGTTAATCTGCTTTGGCAGCACCCTCACAGCCACACCCAGGATCAATACTTTGCATCCTTCAATCCAATCATAAGTATTAACCATCGTAAGTCCACCCTTTGTCAACTTCAACCCATATACATCTCCTGAGATTATACATAATCTTCAAATAAAGACAATAATAAGGTCATACTTATGCCTAATATAATACAAATATCCTTCATACAGCCAGAAGTACATCAGTCCCCAAATCAAATACTATTATATAAAGTTAACAATACTTAAATGCTGATGTGATGTCAATAAATCTCATGTCATGTGATAAGGTAAAAAGAAAATAAAATGAAGATTTTGTTTTAGTACAAGTGTATACATGGACAACCATGGTTTTAACAAAAGAAGAAGGAAATAACTCATGATAATTATGATCCTCTTTCTGCAGCTGGTCATGTGATCATAGCTGGTATTGATGACTACCTTCTTCTACTACTTATTCTGTATTCCCTTTGCCTTCAGCAAGTACCTCAGCAGGTTGTGGATTTTTTTCTTGTGGTTACCCAAACCTTCATTCCTGAAGTGTCTGGGCCATATGCAGTCCTGCCCAGATTGGGCTGTTGTATTTCCCAATGACCATAATCACAGGGCATGATAATACTAAGAAGCACCCTAACAGATCTCCTGTATTCTGTGCATACTCTTCGTTACCTCCACTGTGGAGCAGTAGACTGATTTCATCTTGATAATCCAGGTCATTCACCCCAGCCAACACTGTAACTCCCTTCTTAGCCTGTTGACTTAAAGGTAGGAGGAGCCCAAAGTGTCCAGGTGGCAATCTTAACTTCTAGTTTAATGGAATCATTGTTGTGTCTCCTGGTGGCATCATTCTTCCCTCTGGAACTAAATCTCTAGGCAAGCAGAATGTAATGTTGTGAGAATAGGAAGCAAAAATTTTGCTAGTGGATCACTAGGGGTGATGGGAATTGGTGCCACTTCCACCCCTTGATTCCTGGATCTATGAATCCTGACTATGGGAGAAACAGTACCATATGTTGGATGCTGATTCAGAGCACATATCACTTTCTGTTTAACTTTGCTTCAGCCCAGCAAAATATTATCATTTAGTTGGCATTGTAATTGTGACTTCTAAAGGCCATTCCATGGTTTTATCACTCCAGCTGCTTCAGGATGATGGGGAACATGGTAAGACCAGTCTATTTCATGAGCATTAGTCCTCCTGCTGCACTTCTTTAGTTCTAAATTGAGTGCCTTGGTCAGAGGCAGTGCTGTGTGGAATACCATGATGGTGGATAAGACATTCCGTGAGTCCACAGATGATAGTCTTGGCAAAAGCATTGTGTTTAGGATAGGCAAGCCCATATCCCAGAGTAAGTGTCTATTACAGTGAGGACAAACCTCTGCCCTTTCCATGATGGAAGAGGTGCAATATAATCAATCTGCCACCAGCTAGCTGGCTAATCACCCCAAGGAATGATGCCATATTGAAGGCTAAGTGTTGGTCTCTGCTGCTGGGAAATTGGGAACTCAGCAGTAGGAGAGTAAAAGTCTATGTTCCTAGGCCCATGTGTAAACTTCACTCCTGCCACCATGGCCACTTTTTTCATAGGCCCTATGGGTGATGATGGGTGGCTGGGGAAATAGGCTGAGTGGTGTCCACAAAAACGTGTCATCCTATCCACTGGATTATTAAAATCCTTCTCAGCTGAGGTCATCTGTTGGAGAGCACTCACACGGGATACAAATATCTTCACAGTTTTTGACCACTCTGAGAGGTTCATACATATACCTCTTCCCCAAGTTTCTTTGTCACCAATTTTCCAATCATGCTTCTTCCAAGTCCCTGACCTTTCAGCCAAACCATTGGCTACAGCCATAAATCAGTATATAATCACACATCTTGCCATTTCTCTTTCCATGCAAAGTGTAAAACCAGGTGCACTGCTCAAAGTTCTGCCCAGTGGGAAGATTTCCCTTCATCACTGTCTTTCAAGG